ATGCTAATCTAGAGGGAGGCCGCATGACCCATCCCTCCATGCCCATCAGCATGCCCTCACCTCAGTCCTGCCAGCTCCCACCAGGACTCCACCCCCTCTCTGGGATTTCCCTTTACAGAAGCCGCAATGCAAAGTCTGCCGGTCACGCCCTGTGGTGAGGTCCTCTCAGCACCTGTTTCTGGACTTACCTAAGGTAAGTTAGGTTTTTTTGTTTGTTTGTTTCTGGTTTGTGTCTGTGTCTGTGTAGGTGCCCAAGGAAGACAGAAGAGGGCATCAGATATCCTGGAGCTGCAGTTGTAGGTAGTGTGGGTGCTGAGAACTAAACTTGGTCCTCTGAAGAGTATTCTTATTTCTAGTAAACATTTAAACAGCTGGGGAACAAGGCTGGAGAGATGGCTCAGAGGTTAAGAGCACTGGCTGCTCTTCCAAAGGTCCTAAATTCAATTTCCAGCAACCACATGGTAGCTCACAACCATCTGTAATTAGATCTGGAGCCCTCTACTGGCCTGCAGGAATACATGCAGGCAGAACACTATACATTATAAATAAATAAATCTTAAAAAAAAAATTAGCTGGGGAACAAAGTGTATGGTGGAGCTCTTGCCTGGTACGTTCAAGTCATATTCAATAGCTGGTATGCTAGGTGACTACATGCTGTCAATCCCAGCACCCTTAGCTCTGAGGAGGCTGAAGTAGGCCATCTGGAGAGTAAGGGATTTAAGGCCAGCCTGAGGTACATCATAGTAAGATAATAAAATAAACAAGCACATTGTTGTGATGAAACCCTGTCTTGAAGCTTCTTGTACTCACTTACCTTGGTGCTGGCCCTGTTTGAGACCATCCTGTCTCACCCCTGTTTCTGTCATCTCAGTTGGAAAAGCGACTGGAAGACTGGCTAGGGAAGACATTGCCTGGCAGTGACTGGACACCCAACGCTCGGTTTATTACTCGTTCTTGGCTTCGAGATGGCCTCAAGCCACGATGCATAACCAGAGACCTCAAATGGGGAACACCTGTGCCCTTGGAAGGTTTCAAGGACAAGGTAAATACCCTTTATCCCTTAGTCATGGCGTAGAGTGCTCAGCCTTAGGACTGCCACGGGCTAGCTGGTTACAAGGTCCATGGTCTTCCCCTCAGCCTGAGACTTTGGACTCATTCCTGTTTGTTTCCTTCCAGGTATTTTATGTCTGGTTTGATGCCACCATTGGCTACCTGTCCATCACAGCCAACTATACAGACCAGTGGGAGAGATGGTGGAAGAATCCAGAACAAGTAAGCAGGCCTTAGCCTGTCAGTGGGGACAGGGTGTGTAAGAGGTGTAGAGTTAGAAGGTTTCAGATGGTCTCATCCAATGTATTCTCCTAGGTGGACCTTTACCAGTTCATGGCGAAAGACAATGTTCCCTTCCATGGTATAGTCTTTCCTTGTTCGGCTCTAGGAGCTGAGGACAATTACACCTTAGTGAAGAACCTCATTGCTACAGGTAGGTACCGGGACAGTGCACACAGGAGAATCAGGCCTGAGGCAGTACTGGCAAGAGCCTGGGGAGGTCTTAGGTTAGGATCTGAGCTGAAATAGGAAGTCATTAAAGTGTGAGAGTTCCATCCAAAAGAGGAAAGCAAGAACTTAAAAGCAAAAATCTAACGCTAAAACTATTATAAGCAAAGTAAGAGAGTCCAGAATGGGGGCATGGAGCTCAGTGACCTGTGTAAGCGATTCAAGGAAAGGTGTTCTTGGACATTCCCCATTGAGAGAAAGGGGAAGATACAGGGGTGAAGAAGGGAAGGATGGGATTTGGACCCTTCTCTTCTGTGCAGAGTACCTGAATTATGAGGATGGGAAATTCTCTAAGAGCCGGGGGATAGGAGTGTTTGGAGACATGGCCCAGGATACAGGGATCCCTGCTGACATCTGGCGCTTTTATCTGCTGTACATTCGGCCTGAGGGCCAGGACAGTGCCTTCTCCTGGACAGACATGATGATTAAAAACAATTCTGAGCTGCTCAACAACCTGGGCAACTTCATCAACAGGTAGGACCTGGTGGAAAGGTCCACAGAGTATGGAAAGAACTAAGTGGGAGGAGGCTGATAGGAAGGGAAATGGGGAAAGTTGTTTCTGTGGATTGGGATTGGCTGCCTGCCAGGCCAGCACACACTGAACTGTATTTTTTTTTTTTTCTTCCTTTTTTTTTGGTTTTTCGAGACAGGGTTTCTCTGTGTAGCTTTGGAACCTATCCTTGCACTCGCTCTGGACACCAGGCTGGCCTCTGCCTCCCGAGTGCTGGGATTAAAGGCATGCGCCACCACAGCCCGGCCTGAACTGTATTCTTGAGGCAGCTTAGCTGTAGATAGCTGGTTAGCCAGAGTTGGTCACCGTGCATATCTTTGTGTATTGCATTGCTTGTCTTGAAAATTCAAAGCTCAACACACACATGCTGGTGCACAAGCACATACACGCATACAGACACACAACACACATTCATGCATGCATGCACAGACATGCATGTGTGCCCTGTAGACTTAACAATCTTAAGTCAGAGTGCCGGACCTTTAACTCAACCCTTAACCACATTTAGCAGCCTTCATTAGAATATACTTCAACTTGGTAATTCTGAGTATGTACTTCTAAAAATGAATTATTTATTTGTAGAATCACGTTTTTTAGGAGAGAGAGAATGCAGGATTTAAGTTTTATTTCTAGTTTGAGGGGTCAATAATAGTCGGGCTTGCACAGGAATGCCACAAGGATGAAGTTTCTTTTTTTTTTTTTTGACATCTATTTACTGTTCTCGGGGTGCTACTGACACACTGTGCAGTGAAAACCAGCATACAACCTCTGAGTCAGTTCTTCCTTCCACCCTGTGGATTCCAGGGACTGAACTCATCATGTTATTGGACTTGGAGGCACCCTTTATCTGCTGAGCCATCTGGCTTGCCAGAGTTTGAAGAGTTATGGAAGTGGGATGAAATTTCTCTAAGTAAACTGGGCAATAACTTTGTCTTTTCTACCCCCACTCCAAGAGCTGGCATGTTTGTGTCTAAGTTTTTTGGGGGCTGCGTGCCTGAGATGGTGCTTACCCAGGATGACAGACGTCTGCTGGCCCATATCTCCTGGGAACTCCAGCACTATCACCAGCTGCTGGAAAAGGTTCGGTAAGTAACTTCCAGCACAGTCATGATAGTGGTGGGCTACTATGGTTGGCAGTCCTATGTACTTTTCCTCCTCTCTTCCCAGGATCCGAGATGCCTTGCGCAGTATCCTTACCATATCTCGACATGGCAACCAATACATTCAAGTGAATGAGCCCTGGAAACGGATTAAAGGAAGTGAGGTGGACAGGTGTGTTCAGGAGCTATGGCTGGCTATAGGAATTACCTGACATGCTATGTCTTCTTGGTGGCTTTGACTTCTCTCTCTTTTTCCTCAGGCAGCGGGCAGGCACAGTGACAGGTGTGGCAGTAAACATAGCTGCCTTGCTGTCTGTCATGCTCCAGCCTTACATGCCAACAGTTAGCGCCACCATCCAGACCCAGCTACAGCTTCCACTGCTAGCCTGCCGCGTCCTTGTCACAAACTTCATTTGTACCTTAACAGCAGGTCATCAGATTGGCACAGTAGGTGTCAGTAATATCCACGGAGCTAGCCAATTAAAGTTGGGGTTTTTTGTTTGTTGTTTTGTTTTGTTTGGTTTTGGAGGCTGTCTTGGACCTAGCTCTGTAGACCAGGCTGGTCTGGAACTCAGAGATCCACCTGCTTCTGCCTCCCCGAGTGCTGGGATTAAAGGCATGCGCCACCACTGCCTGCCCGCCAATGAAAATTCTTAATTTTACAGTGCTGCCTTTGACATCAACATTTCTGGCTTTGAGATAGCTGTTCTAAAATCCTTCCCCAGCTCTGCACTCGGGCTTCTTATGAAAGAAAGGTTCTTGGTATGGGCTTGTGAGTACAGAACTGCCCATGTGTTCTTACTGCCGTTCATGCCAGAAGCCAGGAAGTGGCACATACACAAACGGTTGAAAATGACCGTGATGACCTGGTCTCTCGGTGTTATAGCCACTTTCTTTGACACTAGATGACAAATGTATACACTAACCCTTTGTCTCCTCCATATCCATTTACTTTCCACTCCACGGAAGAGTCCTGGCTTTCCATGTGACTTATTGAAGTTGCCGGGCATTGCTCAGTGTTCCACTCCTATTTCTTGTAAAGCATCTGGGATCTCTAAGTGTCAGGAAGGGTGGGGTCTCTGGTGTGGTAGAGTTATTGGTGATTGATTCTGGCACGTGTTTCTCCAGGTCAGTCCTTTGTTCCAAAAATTGGAAAATGACCAGATTGAAAATTTGAGGCAGCGCTTTGGAGGGGGCCAGGTAAGCAAGCTAAACTGTGCCTTGCCCTGAAAGCACATCAGCGCCGCCTTAATCTCCCCAAGTCACCCCCACTCATCCCCTCCTACCTTTGGCCTCACTCCTCCTAATCTCCCCAAGTCACCCCCACTCATCTCTTCCCACCTTTGGCCTCAATCCTTCCTCACTTAGGTTTTTCTTTCATGTCTTAGCTAGAAGAGTCCTTGGAGTTAAAGGTAACCTAACCATTTTCTCTGAGCCCTTGTATGAAACTGGATGCCAGAGGATTTACGGTAACAAGTAGTAATTCTACTGCTCTTCTCCAGACTAAAGGATCCCCCAAGCCAGCAGTTGTGGAGGAAGTTACAACAGCTGGGCCACAGCAGATACAAATGCTGATGGATGAAGTGACCAAACAGGTATGAAGCTTATGGCCTGAGGGGACTAGAGATGTTGGATCCTACACACTGTGGTGCCCTCACCTCCCATTCCTCTTTCAGGGCAACATTGTCCGAGAACTGAAAGCACAAAAGGCAGACAAGAACCAGGTTGCTGCACAGGTGACTAAACTCTTGGAGCTAAAGAAACAGTTGGCTTTGGCTGAAGGGAAACCCATTGAAACTCCTAAAGGCAAGAAGAAAAAGTGAGAGGACCTGTTTATATAAAGTCACTTTACTGGGTATGGACAATAATAAAGAATGTACAATATATATACACACAAGCTGAGACCTAGATTCTCCCTACCCAGCATCCTTGGCATTGGCATGATGGTTCAGGAGAGATGGGAGGTCACTTGAGTTGGGGAATGATGGTCCCAATTGTTCATACTTGTTGCAGATTTACCATGCGGTCAATCAGAGCCCGGCGAGTGGCCTCTACCTCCCTGGTCAGGCGCTCGATTTCCTGCTTGAGCCGTTCGTTCTCTTCAGCTAGCTGTGCTACTTTCCTCTCGTTCTCCTGTTCTTTCTCCTTCATGCGTTGCTTCCCAGCCCGGGCTGGGCACTGACCACTCTGTTTCCGTTTCCTAGTTCTTCCTTGATCTTCCTCTTCCTCCTGAGCCATAGAGCTCTGACTGGAATCTGGAGATTGGGGGCTCTGGGAGCTGCTTGTGACCTCTGCTGGCCCTGGCTCCTCAGTCAGCCAAGCTAGGGATGCGGAGTCTAGGGTAGTGAAGGTTTTTGACTCCCCCTTTAAGGAAGTGGAGAAAGGGCAATGGATATTAGTTGTGGAGAGGTGAACATACTCCCCAGTTTTGTGGGGTTTATTTTTGCTTGTGCTTGAAACAGGCTAGACTCAAATTCATAAGCTAAGGCTGGCCGTGAACTGAGCCTCCTTGCCCATTTTAAGACTAGCACTCTCACTCACCTCTTCATTTCCAAGGGATGAGATATAGGGACCCCCATTTTCATCTGAGGACAGCACCTCCTGCAGATCCTCATACCAGGCTTCCAGCTCCCAGCTGGACACCGTCTCCAAGGCAAAAGGCAGGGACTCAGCTGCCATGTCTGTAGTTGGACTGGGTTCTGGAAAAGAACATACAGGGTAAAGGTTTTCTATTCGTCATGGTTGGCGAACCAATCTCATGCCTGTTTTAAAACTCTGGATTTAAAATTTACTAGACTTGTGGGTCAGGTAGGGGCATGGGCTGTCAATCCTTGGAAGCCACATTGGCAGGTGATGGGTGTGGGTGGAAAACGAACTCCCACAAGGTGTTCTCTGACCTCCACATACACACCATTGCACACAGGCAGCATAGTAAATGAATGTAGGGATGGGAAACAGCTGAGTAACTACAAGTGCCTGCCGCCAACCAAGCCTAGCAATGGGGGCTTGAGTCCACCAGAGTCACCTAGTAGGAAAAAGAACTGACTCCCAGAAACAGTCCAGACCTTCACATGCACACCATGGCTAGCACCCCACAGCACAAAACAAATGTAATTAAAAACAACAACAACCCCCCCTCCCGCCCCCCAAAACTAGAACTGCCAGGCAGGGGTGTTTAATCCCAGCACTCGGGAGGCAGAGGCAGCAGGATCGCTGAGTTTGAGGTCAGCCTGGTCTACATAGTGAGGTCGTATAGCCAGGGCTACACAGGGAAAGGAAAACCAAACTAATAAAACACCCCTAAAATCAGTAAGTATAAATAAAATATTACATAGTAATCTTTCTACAACTTTGTCTCCACAAGAAACCTGTTTTATGTATATGCATATGCTCACATGAGTGCAGTGTCAGTGGGGCCAGAGGCACTCCGGGGTCTCCTGGAGCTGGGTGGAGTTCAGCAGTTGTGAGCCACCTCATGTGGATACTGGAAACCCAGTTCAGGTCCACTGGAAAAGCAAGTGTGCTTCACTCATGAGTTTTCTCTCTAGCCTCTACTTCCATTTTTGTTTTATCATTATTTGTTGTGCTAGGAATTGAACCACAGCCTTGTATATATGCTAATATACCACATTACCAGAACTGAAGAAAACACAAAATACATTGTGTGTGATCTTGGGGATCAATCAAACCTACTGCCTCATACACAAATACTGAACTATACCACTAGTCCAGCCTAAACATACATTCTTTCTTCAAAGATGCATTTATTTTATTGTGTATTTGTATGTGTGAGTGCCTGCATGTATGTCTGTGCTGTGTGTATTCCTGGTACACAGGGAGGCCAGAAGAGGGGATGGGTTCCCTGGGAACTAGAGTCATAAATAGTTTTAAGCTGCCATGTGGGTGCTGGGAATTGAACCTGGGTCCTCTAAAAGAGTAGTCAGTACTCTTAACCACCGAGCCAACTCTCCAGCTTCCAAGAACATACATTTTATTGAGATAGGATCTTACTATAGATAGCTCAGGCTGGCCTTCAACTTTATGAACCTCCTGCCTCTGCCTCTCAAGTTCTTAGATTATAGGAATGAGCCATTATGCTTGGCTATGCATATATATTCTTACGGGATTATAGTAAAAGTATTCAACTCACTTGGGAACACTGCTGGTGAATTCCAGGAGCAATTACCAAGCCATTTGTGTTCCTTTCTCTTGTGTGGGAAGCTTGGGCAAAAGGTCCTTGGGGTTTGTCTAACCTTGGTGTGGACTGAATCGGAAAGACAAGCCAATTGCCACTGTTGAGGCTGGCTGTGAGAGCCAGCTTTCATTTGGGAAGTGCTCTAAAAATAATGTTATGGTGTCAGAGAAAGACACAGTCTGACAGCAAAAGCTTGTTGAAATCAAATTCTCTCTAACTACTGTCCCAGCAAAGTGACCCTAAGCAGCATTGGGAGTTAACTTTGAGAAGGGGTTGGTGAAGTTTACCTGCTTTCAGGTATGGTGATGTATGAAGATACTCTTCCTTCTGGAACACTGTGGAGAACAGAGATACATGTTTACTGTCTGAAGGGAAAGAAACAGGGTCTTTACCTCTAGCCTTTTATCCTTTGGTCCTTCTCTATTCCCCTCTCGCCCCTTCACAGAGTTTCTCTGTGTAACTCTGGCTATCCTAAAACTAGTTCTGTAGACCAGGCTGATTCTCTCTCTCTCTCTCTCTCTCTCTCTCTCTCTCTCTCTACACACACACACACACACACACACACACACACACACACGCGCGCGCGCGCGCGCGCGCGCCAATTCCAAGGACAGAGGCAAGCTTGATTTTATTTTTAGTTACTGACATTTGTCCTGATTACATAATAGCAACATCCTAGCCAACTAAGCTTTCTCTAAATTCCAGATAGACCTCAAATCTGCCAGAGTGAGGGCTGCACTACAGGGAAGAGAAAAATATGTGGGTGGCACTTGCTACATATACTCCAATATCATATTGGCCGCTTCTGGTCTAGACCTGTCCTGGGACCTCCAACTCTGTTGTCTACTTGCTATATCACCTTTTGAATGTCTATCAGGCATTTACAACAATCTCCTGCTGGCCTTTCCTTTCCTAGGTTGTATTATTCTAAGTGGCAACTCTACTTGCTTAAATCAAAAAAAAAAAAAAAAAAAAAAAAAAGGTATCCTTGCTTCCTCCTCTCACATCCCCACAACTCAGTATAAAGCAGCACAGGCAGCTTTAATACATTCTTTTTAAGTACCTAAAGCCTGAGTATTTTCTTTCTTTTTTTTTCAAGACAAGGTCCTAGAACTTGCTCTATAGACCAGGCTGGTCTTGAACTCAGAGATCCACCTGCCTCTGCCTTCCAAGTGCTGGGATTAAAGGTGTGGGTTACTGCCATCCAGCAAGCCTAAGTATTTCTGTTCCCATTATTTCCAAATGGAAATCAATTTACCTCACTTCCCGAAGATTACTGTGGAAGACTCATTCAAGAAATCTCCCATTTCTTTTTTTCTAGACAGAGTCTCACGATGTAGCCATGGCAGTCCTGGAACTCATTATGTAGACCAAATTGGCCTCAAATACACACAGATTTTATTACCTCTGCTTCCTGAGTGCTGGGATTAAGGTGTATGTCACCATGCTCTATCAAGATCTACCATTTCTATTCCTGTCTTTTATTAGTTTAGTTTCATAGTTGGGGGTTGACCATAGGTCCTCTATAAGCTAGGCAAGCAGTCTACCATTGAGCTACATTCCCATCCTTTTATTTTTGTATTCATTTGAGTCAAGGTCTCACTATGTAGTCCTGGCTCCTGAACTCAGAGATTTGCCTGCCCCTGCCTGAGTGTTGGAATCAAATACATATGCCATGACACTGGGCCTTATTTCATTCCTCTACCCAGATCCCTCCAGTGGCTTCCTGTTTACCCCACCCTCTCTCATATTCACTCCCATCCAGCCACTGCCCTATTTTACCAGACATGCTTTATCTTAACCCTTCTGCTCCCACAGTTCCTTCTGGAAAGCTCGTTTACTCTATCTGCATGGCTCACAGGCTTGCCTTCTCTGGATCTTTCACTAAAAACCCCAGTGAGGCAATTCCTAACACCCACAATCCTGAGCACTCTTATTTGTCAGCTCTTGCTTTCTGCAGAAATACAGGCCCAGGCCGAATTGAGATCAGTTTTATCTTTTGCTCCTCATATACTCTGGGTTCTCAAATGCTTGGCACATAGTTGATGTTTATTAAGCATTTGTTAGGAATGAATAGGGAAAAAGCCACTCCCCCAATTTCCCCTACAGAGAATGGAGGGCTAAGCCCAGAGGCAGAGCCGGTGCTGCCTATCTCTGGGGACTGGAGATGCAATATTGCCCTGAGTGTTTCTCTGCAGGGCTGTCCTCTGGGGGAAACTCCCTCGGTTTTCCAGTGTGTGGGGCCTGGCTTTCATCAGCAGTGGAGCCCCAGGCCAGAGGGCGCAGAGATAAACAGTGGGCCGGCCTGACGCAATGGTTACAGAGATTAGTGAGGAGTGGACTGGGGAAAGAGACAGAACTCAATCCTAGGAGCAGCACAAGACCCTGGAGAGAGCCCAAATAATGTCCCACGGTTACAGATCCAGGCTGCTCTCTTGTACAGAAGCCTCCGGGGAAAAGGGGAAAACCCATCTGTGCTCCTCCCACCAGCACCCCGCTAGCAAAGGTCTGTCAGTCTTACGATTCTCTTGAACTTTAGGGTCAGCGACTAAGGTGGCCATGCTGGCCCCCGAGGAGCTTGGGAGAGCCGGGGATAACGAAGCTGTTGGATAAGAGGGGGAAAAGCCAGAGTCCTTTATATGGGGGTGTGTCCTGCTGCCCCGCCTTTCACCGGACAGGCCTAGGATGGCCCGCAGTTCGCCGTACAGAGGAGGAGGATGGATCTCCCGGGGACAACCAGAGTCCCTCTGCCTAACGGCACAGTCTAACTAGGCAGGGGAACGGTGATGCAATCGCCCGTAGGAAGAGGGGTCATGTGAGCGCCACTCCAGGGTCAGGGACTCCCGCCTCCATCCCTCCCTCCGACTACAGGGCCACTTTGGAAGGGGTGGGGCTACATCCTCCAGAGCAGTCGCCCCCAACTTTATGGACTAGCCATGCTGGCGAGAATGGGGAAAGAAGGGGTAGACGGCGTCGGTACTCGCCTCGCTCCTCAGGTCCCGGCTTTTATTTTGGCTCTGTCGCTGCCACCCGTTCATCTTCAACATGATATGACCGAAGTGTGAGACTCAGGCTACTGACCTCTGCAGCGCCGAGAGAAGATATTTTATGCGGGCCCGTCCCCTCTTTTGGGGGGCGGGACCCAGGAGCCTGCCAATCAGAAAGCGGCACGCTGGC